GCTCAGTCTCTGCTGCCCCACCACAAGGAGCCCAAATGTCAGGTCACACTGCCAGTGTCACACTGTCACCCACCATGCTGTTACCCACGTCAGGATGCTGCAGCAATGGCTGAGGATCTGCTCTGCACACCAGCTGCCTCTTGATGTCCCCAGAGCTCCAGAGCATCTCTGCTGCTTCCTGCTCCCACAGAGCAAGTGGGGCTGGGGTGAGGCTCACAGCTACCCTGTCAGCTGCATCAGCCTGTGGGATCCTGGGGGGAGAAGGGCCATGGCACTTGTAAGCCCACACTGCAGAGAATGTAAAACAGGAGATCCTCTGCTTGGACATGGCAGTGATTTCATCAGCTGAACCATACACATGAGAATCCAGATCTCAAAACCACTGAAGCACCTAAATCCTAGTGGTATCTTTCAGGATATGGTTTCTGGGATATTTCGCTTCCATTGGTACTTTTGAAAAACCTGCAGCTGAAGTTCAGGCTCCTCGACCCAGTTGTCTCACCAGGGCTGCACAGAACATCCCCCTGAGGCTGCCCTGGGCTGCTGGCCAGCCAGGCACACTAACAGCACTCTGGCTCTTCCCACCCCCTTCACTCCAGCTTCTCCTCACAGAGCCCGGGGTGGGCAGCAGTGAGGGGTGGGGAGCTGCATGCACCCAACTCTCCCTCAGGCACAGGGCCTGGATGTGGAGTCAGGCACACAGCACCTCAGGAATCAAGCAGCATTTGCACTGACCCATCCTCTGCAGCAGCTCCCAGAGAAAAAAAGCCTCTGCCATGGCTGGAATCTGCCTTGTGCAACAGACTGCTGAGCGCAAAGCAGAGATTATGAATGAGCTGACAAAACCAGCCTGCTGTTGGCACAGGCACCAAGCAGAGACAGAGTAGCTGCACTGGAAGTGTTTCATCCATTATTGTCACAGAAGTCATTTTAGCACTGATCCTGCTCCAATAAATCATGTTGCCAAGCATTTTTATAGAGGGGTTATGCATTCAGAGCCACTCCTGGTCCTGTTACAAGAGATGCATTTCTTTCTTAGCTCAGGGTGGCTGAAACATTGTCATGAAGGAAAGAGAGTTACTGCTCTGAGTGCCATTGTGTAAGAGGCATTATTACAATGACAGCAGCAGGAATGATGTGAGCTAGGAGCCACCATCTTCTTTCTCTGGCTCACCACCTTCAGGCACTCTTGCAAAGCTGAAAATTTGCTACCCCAAGCACAATAGCTGCTCATGCACCTTTTGCTGTGGTGATTGATGAAAATAGGGAAATAATGATGTTACTTCCCCATTCACCATAAATCATCTGTCCCCTCAAAGTGGCTGGAGTACTCTGAGTCTGGCCAGATTTATACAGACAACTTAACCCATTAGCTTTTCTATACAGGCTGTCATCTTCTTAATGCAGTGCTAGATATAGTTAGGCATGTGTCTACAAAAGACAGTGGCTCTTTCCAAAGCTAACAAAGCCCTCCTTCCAGCAGACTTAAAACCCAAGTCTGGAAATGTTCACCCTGTGGCTGTGTCTGCATTAGTTATTCAGAGACAGCAGAAGCCAAACAATAGGTGGAAGCAGAGTCTGGAGGCCCCTACCTGTCACTGCACACACCTGTACCTGTACTCACACACACCCATGCACACGTACAGGTGTTTACAGACATACACACATAGATGTAAATATGGATGGTTTGCCACTGCTGAGGCCAGCAGGAAAACTCTCACAGATTATGGTACTAACAAGTGGGGGAGCTCAGAAAGCCAGGACACCCAGCACAGCCCAATCCACACGGCCTGTGTGTGACTCCCACCACGATGAGGCTGCTGAATTGGGCCCTGGTTAAGGGTGGCCCCCCTGGGGCAGGCCCTCGTTAAGGGTGGCCCCTCCTGGGGCAGGCCCTGTCACCACCACCTCGCTGCCCTGCCCAGCTGCTCACTGGCACCACGGCCACTCCTGCCTCTGGCAGGCAGAGATAGCTCCCAGGGCTGCCAGCTCCGTGAGCCCCTGGGGCCCAGCAGCCGTGGGGACACCCCGCTGCCATCAGAAAAGCACCAAAGTGTCCCTGCCTCAGTATCTCCTTGAGACAGAGAAGGGCACTGCACAGGCACAGAGGAGAAGCAAGAAGGTCTCTCAGCCACCTGCTGCACTATCATCCCTTGGAGAACACAGACTGGAGGGGGGCAGAGAAAAAGCTCTTTTTTTTTTGGTTTAAACATTAATTCAGGACTCAATTCTGTGTAAAGGAGCAGCTGTGACAACACTGGCCTTGGGTCAAAATGCAGCGTGCACCTCTGACTGCTGGGCCCAGCACAACGAGGCTGCTGGAAACCCTCTGATACCAAAGAGTCTGGCTGTCCAAACCAACGTCCCCCTGCAGTGAGAGGTGTGTCAAAAAGCTGCCTGCAGAGCAGAGAGACAGCCTGCTGCAAACCCTTAGCCAGAGAGGCTTTCTGCCCTTTCACACGCAAGGAACTGCTCACCACAGGACAAAAGGATGCCAGGGATATTGAGTTTCCCTTAAGTCTAAAAAGCAACTGGACAAATACATGGGATGAAGTCTGTCTGGGGCCACCAAGCACAGTAACAAAAATTGCCAAGTCCCACTGTACTAGAAAATACAGGGAAATATTTAGAAGAGGTATCAGCCCACGGCTGTGCTGATTCTGTAATCTGTCCCAAGTGTCCACTACTGTCCCTCACTGGGAGCAGGGCACCAAGCTAGATGGGCCTCAATGTCACAATCTCTTAATATTTCCAGACAGTCGTGTTGCAAACCAGTCATAAATATTTGCCTGAACACTGACTGTGAACCCCAGCCACAGGAACAAACAAGTGAACACACAGTTTTCCTCAGGTGAGCAGACCTCCTGATTCCCACATTAACACAAATACTTCAGCCAGAGCCTCTCAGCAGCTGGAACCAATGAAGATTACTCCACCAGCTCTCATATTGCACAGTCAGATAATGCAGGGCCACACCAGGAGAGCTAAAATAGCAATTTAATGGAAAAAGTATTATGACTATTTATAGATGCTGTGACATGATTAGTACCCCAAACAGAAAGATAAACTGGCAACCTAAAGTATTCCAAATCAACAACTCCCACCGAGCTCACAGAGTCAATGATCAGCACAGAAATTGTAAATCACAATATTATTGGGGTTTTATTTATTTAGAAACTCTAGAAAATCAGACAGAACACAGGGATCTCTCCGTGCACAGAAAAGGCAATTCTGTTTGCATGAGCTTTTGATAACAGTTAAGGCTGATTGTGAAACTGCACCCTGACAACTGCTTGCAAAAACTTAGCCAGTAGCAGGGCAGCCCAGGCAGGGTCCAGGGAGGTGGTGACTCTCACCCTCTGCTCAGAGAGCATGCATGTGATGAAAAACTGCCCACACTGCTGGGATCTGCAGCTCTGCCCATCCCAGGTTTGTTATCAGTTCTCCTAACACCTGAGATTGCACAGGAGGAATTTGGAGACAGTTTAGGATTTTGGTCATTGCAGGGCAGTCCTCACCAGTAGCCAGAAAGGGCTGTAACCACACTCTATACACAAACTCCAAAATTAACTCCTGCTAAGCTCTGTTCTCAGAAGGCAGCTGTGCAGCAAACAGCTGGACTGGCCAGAACCTGGCATGCCACCTGACAAATCTCTTTCAGCTCCAGGGAGAAAATGGCTTTTGGAAAGTGCCTGAACTTTGGGGCACTTAAGCTTCAGAGGAGCACGCTGCTTTTCATGGAGCTACTGAACTACACAGGCTCTCCCAGCAGCAGTGTGTGAGTGTGTTCCCACCACGGGCATCATTCTGACTCCCTGGCAGAGTCACACAGGCTCTCCCAGCAGCAGTGTGTGAGTGTGTTCCCACCACAGGCAACATTCTGACTCCCTGGCAGAGCTGACAGCTGAAATGGTGCTATGATACCTACCAGTGCAACACTGACAGCCTTCCTAAAACAACTCACCCTTACTACTGTAGCTGAAGTTTCTGAAAGGCTACACAGTATTTTACATAAACCCCCGTTTTCAAGAACAACCAGATCCTCCTCCTCCTTTAAAGACAGCTGCACTGAGTAGCCCTTCAGAGACTAACACCACTTAAGAGGAGAGCTTTTTCTAAAGATCTGCACCTACAGGCAGCCCCCCTAGATGCTCACCATTCTTCACATGCACCCTCAGATCACAAGTAGTAGGCACCAGCCTGTATTCTTCTAATTCAATAGATTACCACACACGTTTCAGCTTTTGCCCTTGTGTAGGCTAGTTTCAAAGAAATATTACACACAACTAACAGGAAGGTGAGGCAACTACCTTAGGGTCTCCATATCACACTGCACAGCTGCTAGCTGAGACCAGGACATAACACACCCCAAAATGTCTCACCTCAAACACAAGGATAGCTGCAAACAGAAACCTGGATTTTCCTCTAAATTACATTCCTCAGTCAAACAACAGAAGCGTTGCTCTCCCACACACAGAGCCAAGGTAGGATGCCTGTTTCCACCACCCTGTGTTGGTAGCAATGCCCATGTCCCTTTAGACAGCTTTTGGAATAGCACAGATAAAAGCAGCACTTTGCAGCTGCAGCAAGCTCAAGAAGATAAAAAAGTCCCTGTATGCACTTTTGTCATGTTCCCCTGCCTGCCTGAGATGAGACTAATGGTCTGTCACCACTTGGATGCAATTCCTGTTAGGCACCAGTCTTGCTAATTAAGTTCTCTGACTGCCTCAGCAGCGGATTCTGGGAGCACACGGGAGATAAAATCAAGCCACAAAGAGATCACAAGAGTCTGTGTGGTTGAGGACCTGATCCAGCACGAAGCACGACTGTAAGGGGGGTCTGCAGTGTCTCCTAAAATGGGTGGTCCATAAAGGACCAAGGCACAGGCACAGAGGAACAATGGTGTTCTGCCTCTGCAAAATGATTAGTTTATTCTGAAGAGGAGAGGAATGCAGCATGGGGAGGTTCTCAGTGCAGGCAGAGCCACGGGGAGGGGGTGCTCACTCCTTCACAAACCAGACCTCGTTGCGCCGCCCGTAGGGCTTCATGGGGGGGTCGTACCCGTTGCAGAGGTAGAAGTCCCTGTGGTAGGCAGCTTCACTCCCCAGAGCAGACCTCAGCCTGGCAGCATGGTTCACATAATCCACCTCCTTAGCATAGCCCCCAAACTGCCTGCAGAGAAATCACACACAGATAGGTGCTGAGCAGCCCCAGCAAAGCACAGAAGGAAAGAGCAGAACAATGTCCAGTCACAGCATATTTAAGACACACACTTTTGGTCCGGGTTCCACCAACACGCATGACACTGTTCTTTGTGAACCAGCACCCTTCACCTGTGATGGATTAAGTCTCAAGGGTAACACAGCCAAGATGCAGTTATCCACTGGTAGACCCCAAACAGACCCAAGTGTGTCAGTCAGCAGAACGTCCCTGCCCTTTCAACCAAGGCCCCATCAAAGGGACAGATTCCCAGACCATGAGGTTATGGACAAGCCCACTCAGCCCCCAGCCCTTTCACCAATGCTAGTAACAACCACGTTCACTGTGGTGTGAACAAACATCTGCTGCATGCCAGATCAGGAAGGGAAACCAAACTCTAGCTAGACCACAGAAAAGGGAGGTGGGAACAGAGATGTTACAGCCTACAACACTATTTAAAAGGGGTGGGCTGGAATTAATCTGTTTTATGTTGACCTCCTACCAACAGGAACTGTTTGGACATCAGCCTGCAGCTCACTGCCATGCCTCAGGGCCAAGGCTGCAGACAAAACAGCCTGCTCTTGCAAAAGTGGCCCACACCCACAGCAAAGGTCAGGCAGCAGCTGCAGACAGAGGATGAGCCAGGCAGACCACAGTCAGACAAAACAGTTCAAGAAAGGAGGGCAGGGAACGTCCAAGGGGTTAAATACAAAGCCAGCTGCTTATTGCTGTTGTGGTGCTAGTCTGGGTCCAGCTTGTCAGTCCCCAGCCAGAGACATTCAAAGGTGACCCAAAGCAATGCTGCATGTCTCCAAGATGGATTCTGGCATGAGTCCATCTCAGTGAGACTTCAGCTGACACCTGTACTTTGATGCAAACCACACCAAAGGGCATTCGTGATGACTAGGAACCATCCTGATCCCAGGAAGTGAGGAAAGCAATAGTTTTCAGAGATTAGAAATGACCTGGTACCTTCATACCCACCCTCCCCTGCTCTTCACCTCCCAGGTGAAAGACAAAGCCTTTCAGGGATAACCTCCACACTTGTTTTCCCAGTGGAAAAAAAAAATCCATATTCCAAACCAGTGCAGCATGAGCAATGAAAAGAAATGACACAAACCAGCCATCTTTGGTCTAGAAAGACCCCTCCATCTCTTTCCACCCTACACACAACTCATCCAGCAAGCCAGCTGGTAAAACCAACACTGCTCTTCAGAGCATGCTAGAGACTGCAGCACCTGGGACTGGCAATCCCAGGATGAACTACTTACGTGGAATAAACAGTCATCCCTGGCCTCTCTTCAATCTTGATGCTTTCATCACTAGGACAAGGAGGGTTGGCTTGAAACTGGCTCGGGATCCGCAGAGAGACCTTCACCTTCTGCTGTAAGCAGTGATGGAGACAGGGGCAGTCATGCCCATCCCAAGCCCTGAAAGAGACATGCAGACACCACTGAAGAAGTCCAGGTTTTCAGGAACTCACAGGACTAACAAGGGATTCACAAAAGCTAATTTTAGCTTAGGAAAAACTCCTCACACTGAACTTGCATTGTCAGTCAAGAGTGGTGTCCTCTGGGCCACGCAGAACAGCCACCTTCTGTTTCTGCTTGGGCCCCCCTTCTCTCTCCACTGACTAAAGGACCCTGGGAGACAGGGGCTGCAGGTGGTTCTGCATGTCCTTTTATTAACGGTCCTGGCTTTATGGCTCTCAGCCACATAGGTCATGCCACCAAGACACCCTGTTCTTCTGACAAACCACCTACCTCTATCTTAACAGGGTCTATAGTTCTGGGGCAGTTCAGTGGCACACGTAGATCTGCACCAGCATTTAAATTGTTATCATCTGCACTTAGTGCTGAGCCCACAGCCAAGACTGTGTGACAGGAACGTTCTCCTAAACCCTTCCAAATGTTTCCAGATATCCCACAAGTCCAGCACCCCCAGACTCACAGCTTTCAGCAGAACTGTCCATGCTGCCCTCCACTTCAGCAGCAGCATGCTTCTTTTCTGCTCATTACAGCCATGAGGTACCACATAGCACTGAAGAACATTTTGCTTCCCTCTTCTTCTCTCAGCAATAGGAACCTCCTATTGGAGGGAACCTCCAAACCTCAGGATCAGGCAGCTACTGAACTACCTAAGATCAAGCCATCCTTCTCATTTATGTTGTTTTGACATCATGCCTGTCTCTGTGGCATATGTTACAGAAGGTCCCCTTTCTCCTACAGCAATCATCATCACCTTTCCAAAACACACCGCTGTAAACACCATTTCCCTCTGCATGAAGCTCCTGCTTCCACACAGCCTACACAAGCCCCTCTGCTCAGTGCCTGAGAAAGGTGTGCCATCAAATGTTATGCCCCAGGGCTCCTTGGTGGGCTTGGCCTGCTGCGGATGGCTGCCCAGCTGCACACTTCACTGAGCTGAGAACCAGAAGCAATCACCTGGAAGTACCATTATAAAACACTACAAAGTACCACTGAAAAGCAAGCTCATTGTTCATTACTCTTTCATGAATAAAAATAGACAGAGTATATGATAAAATATCAAGGTCATAAAAGTTATTGCACTGCTCACGAGGGCACATCACAGACCCAAAGTGCCCCAGGTGCCCTGGACTCCCTCAGCTACGTGCCTGTCCTCACGCTATCCCAGCTGCAAGATACCTCACTCCTGCTTAAACATGAAATTTTTGAGATTTTACCCTGGAACAGCGATGGGTTAGGAGTGGACCTGTCCATGAGG